CGATTTTTGAGTCGACTCAAAAATCGACTCCATGGTGGACGGTGCTCTGGAGCCCACCAGAACTCCTAACACTGGAGTTGGCGCACTCAAGTCCTCTCCTGTGCCTCTCTCTTGCCCTTGCATCTCCTCTTCCCTCTCCCCTCTCCTCTCCCCTCTCAGCCCCTAGTATTGAGAGCTCGAAGCTGTGCCTTCACTTTTGAGAATTCTCAAAAGTCGACGACTGAGAGCTCGAAGGTGTGCCATCAGCAGCCTTGGTGGATGGCCCTCTCTCGCCCACCACACCACACCACAGGGCAACGGCCAGCCCAGCACCCACATTCCTCTCACCATCCCATCACTATTCCCATCCTTCTTGCACTTCCTTCTCCCATCCCAACCCCCCAGCCCTGAGTATTCAGAGCTGGAGGCCGTGCCGTCAGCAGCCGTGGGTCCTCTGGAGCCCACAACACCACAGGGCGACGATCAGCCCAGCAGCCATGTTTCACAAAACTCTACCACCACGGTCCCGCTCGCTAACGCCTTGCTTGCTGACACTAGCACGCCTCTTGAAAACCGTCCTTCTTCTGCCTCGCTCCCTTCCTCGCTCCCTTCCTCGCTCCCTCCCTTCGCCTCGCTCCCTCTCGCTGCCTCTCTACCTCTTCCTCCTCCCTCCTCACTCCCCCCTTCTTTCCAAGACGCTCGTTCCTCCTCTGCCCCTGTGCCCTCCTCTCTCCTCTCCACCCTCCTCCCGTCGCTTTCCACCGCGCCACACGAACCGCACTCAACCGCTCTGCCTACAGCTGCTGTGCCACATGAACCGCAGCCAACCCCTCTTCCACTACTCCAGGGCCAGCCACAGGAGAATGGGCTACAGGGGGAGGGGCAGAGGGGGGGGAAAGCACTGGGGCAAGGGCAAGTGAAAGGCCCAGGGCAAGGGCAAGAGCAAGGGTACGGGCAAGGGCAGCGGCAAGGGCAGGGGCCAGGGCAAGCGAATGGGCAAGGGCAAGACGTGGTAAGGGAGCAGATTCAGGCTCTAATGGACCTCCAGGCCATGCTGCAGATCAAACCGACTGGAGCAACGCCGACACCAGCAGTGCCAGCAGCAGGAGCGGCAGCAGCCGCAGTGGCAGCAACAGGAGCGGCAGCAGCAGCAGCAGCAGCAACACACACTCTTCTCAAACCCTCTTTCTTCTCCACTGCTCCTGTCTCATCCGCCCCGTCAGTCCCATCAGCAGCAGCAGGGGCATCTGCACTACCACCAGCATTGCCAACACCACCTCTGGCACCCTTACCAGCTGCACAGCCATCAGCATTACCATTCCCACCGCCATCAGCCACTGCTGCTGGTGCTTCTGCTCCTTCTTATCGCCCCCCGACCGTTCCCCTCATCTCCCCTGCCGCCCTCTCTTCTTCCTCTGTCCCCATCTTCCCTTCGGCTTCCTCCCCTCGCTCTGCCTCGTCCCCTCCGCTCCCCTCCTCTGCTCCCTTCCCTCCCCTCTCCGCCTCTCTTCTCTTCCCTCCTCCTCTCCCCGGTTCAACTCCCATGCCTCCTCTACCCTCCTCTGCAACTGCTTGTCACTTACTTGAAAGCGAAACTGCGGAGACCAAGGGTCCCTTGAAAAGCCACGGGGAAGGAAGAGCAGCAGCAGCAGCAGCAGCTGCAGCAGCAGCAGCAGCAAGGGACGTGGCAGGCAACGGGGTATCTGCACCACCCGTGGCATCGGCAACTGAAGCAGGAAGAGGAGGGGAGGGAGCGGCCACGAGGGAGAGAGGGAGTGAGGAAGAGGGGGGAGGAGAGGGGGAGAGTGAGAGGATGTCACGCGCTCTAGCCGCCCTCCTCCAACCCTCCCACGGAGCCCCCATGCTGCAGCCATTCCCCCCACCCGCCCCCCCCCCTTCCCTCGCCTCCCCCGCTCCTCCTCCCGCTCCCTCCCCCTCTGTTCCATTTCCTTCCACCTCCTTTCATGCCCCATCTCTCCCCATTCCTTCTCCTGCTGTTACTTCAGCCGTTGGGGGACCTGCGTTGGGCCTGCAGGGGGGGAGAGGAGGGGAGGGGGTGGCAGTGGTGGTGACAAGGGAAGGGCTGAAGGCTGCTCTGCTGCGATTGGTGCAGGTGGGAAGTGGTGCAGGTGGGGACTGGTGCAGGTGGGGACTGGTGCAGGTGGGGACTGGTGCAGGTGGGAAGTGGTGCGGGTGGCTCGTTAAAATGACAGGTTTCCACCTACTCTTCTTACTACCCCCCCACCTACCGTACTGCTGTTCCCACCCACTTTTCCCCTCCCTTCCCCATCCCTCCTTACCCTTCAATCGCTTTCTGGTCGACTCAGTAATTAGTTTCCAACCGTGTAATCCCTTTGTTTCCTATCGCTTCTCCCTATATGCTTTACCCTCCTCCTCCCTTGCGTCTACTTCCTGCTAAGAGATAAATAGTTCTCCACCCCCTTTCCTTATCTTTTCTGCCCTCAACCCTAACTGACTGACGCTTTCCAGAAGCCCGCAGGCTCAGATACAACTTCCTTTC